GGGGGGGGGGGGGGGGGGGGGGGGGTGGGGGTGGGGGGGGGGGGGGGGGGGGGCAGCGGCAAATTAATGCCTGAGTAGGACACACACAGTCCACACAACGACAACAAAGCACGCGAAAGAAAACGATCCTTCCATACTCCCGCTTCGCCGCCCAACCCCACTACCTCTACCGCCCGTCCCTTCGACCACGGCAAAAAAAAAAAACACCCCTCATGACTTCGTTTTGCAACTACATGTACATTTCCACAGCAAGTTCCTCTACAAGACCGTTGACGGTCTCTAGAGGCTTCACAGAACGGTAAAAAAATGAGTGTCTGTCTGTCTGTCTGTCTGTCTGTCTGTCTGTCTATCGCCGTTCACTCCGAAGCTCGGAACCACGCGTTGTTCTTACCCGAACGCCCGAGCCGCGAGGAATCAGACCATCGGCCGTCCTGCACTACTTGAGACGCCCTCAACCAAGTTTCAGGTTGATGGGTGCCTGTCAATTACCTTGTAGAAGAGCTTGCACAGCCTGGGCTTCGGCGCACGCGGCCTCAGCTTGAACTCCGTTGTGACCAAGACGGCACCATCGGCCTCTCTCCTCTCCCACCCGGAACGGGCGCCGAACGGTCCCAGCGCCGGTTCCAGCAGGCCCGCCACGTCCCAGCGCCCCACGTAGCCCCCGCGGTCGTTGTCCGTAGGGGCTCGGTTGAACTGGAGGCCCAGGGCTCGACGCGAGTGCTGGTATACCGGGAGACAAAACGAATAGGTTGTGGTGGCGTTGGCGGCGTTTTGATTACGGTGGGCGAGGGGAGTGGCGCGTTGTGTTGGGAGGCGTGGGTTCAGAGCGCGATGCCCTTGAACGTCGGGATGGGGGGGGGGGGGGGGTGGAGGGAACAGGACCCCCGGCAGTTTTCCCGCAAGAGGCGTTCTTCGATAGGTGTCTGCGGGGTGGTGATATAGTACAAGAGAGAGAGAGAGCGGGGATTAACAAAGAGACACCAAAAATCACCGAAAAACGCTACGCTAACCTCGTCTTCGCCATTGACCCCATCATCATCATCATCATTCTCGACGGCCTCCAACAGGTCAACCGCACCGCCCTCGTCGCCGCCCAGAAGCTGCAGCTGGGACAGGCGGCCGTTTTGCATGTCGAACACAGCCCGAATACCGCTGTCGCCACCGCCGTCCGGAGACGGGACCGAAACGGTCAACATTTCGCCGCCGCCGTCGTCATCGGCGTGCTCCTCCTCCACCACCACCGCTGGTTCCGGTCCGGCAGCGGCGCTGTCATCGGTCACGGCCGCTGCTGTTGCTGCTGCTGCTGCTGCTGCTGCTCCGCTTATCTCCGCTCCCTGGGTCGCCAATCCGCGGACGAAACAAGGGTGACCAGGGGTATTCGGCGTCGAACACACGTGAGAGCGAGCGAGAGAGATAGAAGAGGGAGAGGGGTGGGCGGGGAGAAAGAGAAAGAAAAACAGGCGGAAGCATATCGCAAAAGGCATACAGAGGATACCGCCGCCAAGCGTGGGGCCATTGAGTGAGTACTTGCGGGGGAGCTGATGATAGGAAAGCGCATTCATCCGATGTCATCCAATGCGCTTACTCGTTCCGAAATCTCTCGAGGAGACGTCAACAACAAACCCCAGAAGCAGCACGGCACGCCGATCAACAGCACAGCACTACTCTCCCCTTCATTCAAAACCTCACCCAAGCTGTGGGGGCGCATGTGTAACAAAAGAAGCAAAAAGACGTGTGGAGTGATTACACTTCGGCAAGACTCTTTCTTCCTTGTAAAACAACAAACAATAAATCCCATCTCTTCCCACAGATAAAAAAAAGAGTGTCTTTTCCTAGGTCTGCAGACGCTTCGCCTCCGCTGCCGCACTCGCCGCAGCCGCCGCCGCCGGCGAAAAACAAGAAAAAAAACGTGTAACCGTCACCTCTCTCCTTCTCACCGCGCTGCTCTCGGGGCTCCGCGGCAGCTCCAGCTGCACGTGTCCGACCTTGTACCCCGCTGGGGCCCACGCCGTCGCCGCCCGCAGCCGTCCCGTCACCGTCAGCCAGCACTCCTTCTCAACGCCGCCCGTCAACGACGGGAGCGATTCGAAGGTCAACGTCGCCGCCGTAACTCTGCCGGCGCCGGCTCCGCCGCCTCCCCCCGCGGCCGCAGGAAAACCCGATGCATCATCCCCCCCGCCCTGGTTTCGCGTCGCCCCTGGCTCCCGGTCGTTGTCGTCGCTGCTGCGCGGGGGAGGAGGGGAGGACGGCGACAGGTCGTCCCCTCCCGCCACCACCACGCCGTCTACCTCCACGTGCCACCCGAAAACGAGAATGTCCCAGAGATTGTCGGTGAAGTCGTACCGGTTGGCGATGGAGAGGGTGACGGTCGTGGGGGAGGGGGCGCTGGGGCGGGGAGTGGTGGTGGTGACCCCACCCGGGAGGATGGAGGCGTGGAAGGGCTGCATGAGGTACTTGAACTGGTGTTGCGGAGACGTCCGGCAAGCGAAGAGCGAGGAGGGAGAGAGGGAAGCGGAGAGACGTAACACACCGAGATGAGAGAGAGGACAGAGGCAGACAGACAGGGACCGGAAGAGACCGAAAGAGACCGAGACAAACAGACATTAGGCAGAGTCAGAGAGACGAGAGAGAGAGAGAGATAGACGGGTACATCGCCAAGAATGGCCCAAAAGCTCTATTTAGATGAAGAAGGCGTACGACACAATTCAGCACGTAGCAGAGCATGCAATCGCACCCGGAGCCCTGCAAACCTACCCAGGACCGAGAGCCCGTTCCTCTCTTAACTGTAACTTTTAACAAGGCACACGCACTCACACGCAGCATAATAGCATCAAGCAGCAGCGGATGGCAGCCAAACAAGCAGCACCGCCCAGTGCAACCAAGGAAGAAAAAAACACCGGTACACGAACACACACGCATGCACACGCACACGCCCAACCCCAGCAACAGCTGAACCCCAGCAGCAGCAACAGCAGCAGCAACAGCAGCAGCAAAGGTGACACAAGAGGTCTTCCTTACCTCTTCCATTGCCGGATGCGGCTTGCGATCCGGCCACACCACGCCGTTCACGCAGAAGTTCCCGTCGTTCACCGGCTCCCCGAAATCGCCCCCGTACCCCCAGGTCTCCACCCCCCCGGCCCCCCCGGGGGGACCGGGGATAGTTTTCCTCAGCCCCTGGTCCACCCAGTCCCAGACGAAGCCCCCCTGGCAGCGGGGGTTCGAGCGGAACAGCTCCCAGTACTTGTGGAGGTTCCCGTTGCTGTTGCCCATGGCGTGGCTGTACTCGCAGAGGATAAGCGGACGCCCGCCGCCGCCGCCGCCGCCGCCGTTGTCATCTGTTGTCGCTAACTTTCGGTCGTCTTCGTGGAGGAACCGGACGCATTTTTCCACGCGGGCGTACATGGGGCAGATCACGTCTGTGGCGGAGGAGCTTTGTACCTGCTCTTGCTGCTGTTGCTGCCGGCGAGACGCAGCCGCCGGAGGGGAGCCCTCGAACATCGCCGGTTCGTACCTGGCCGGTAAGGGGTAAAAAAAGGGTCTTTGGTATGTTCTTGAGGGCTAGCGGCGAGGCGGAAGGGCGGGGTCTGTGAGGGGGGGGGGGGGGGGACCTCACGAGACTAAATAGCGGGGATTGCATTAAGAGCAACGACAATCGGGAAAAAGAGATGAGACGGAGGAAGATTAACACCGAGCTTTGCCTATGTGTGGCCACCTGAAGCCGATGCCACGTTGCCTCAGCATGACACGGTATGGGCCCTAACAGCGCTCGCGACGAGCCAACGGAAGCAAGAAAGAACCCCGTCTAAAAAAGAGCATAGCAGCGACAGCCGCACCCACCACCGTCATCAACCTCACACCAACCGACTGACGAAAAACAGAACAAAATTCACCGCAAAACAAAAAGATCACACAAAAAAAAAAAAAAACGCTTATACTCAAGTAGCCGAAACAGCAGTCTGAGAGAATGCCGTGTGGTGTGTGTGTGCTCACATGATGATCCTGGAGGGGTCTCGTACGCGGAGCCACTTGGACATGGCGTAGTGCGCCGCCCCCAGGCCGGCCTCGTTCCCAAGAGACCACGAGATGATGCTAGGGTGGTTCTTGTCGCGCTCCACCATGCCCTGCGAGCAATTTCAAGGCGATGTAGGAGGCGTTTTGAGACGAACTGTGCGCGCTGGGGGGGGGGGGGGTACGCATGTTTTGCATGCGTTAGTTGTTAGACCATTGGACCACACGTCCTCGAGGGGAAGGGGAGGAGTAGGGCGAGAACTACCACGAGTTGTGAGGAAGGAATTTCTTTGTTGCGACGCGAGCCACAATCGATGTGTCAAATCGATCCCTCAATAATGTATGTACTGTACCTTAAGGCGCTCGATGTGGGCCTCTTGCCAATCGGGGTCTCTGGTCAGCCTGGACGGCGTCGGCTCCATCCCGTGGGTCTCGATGTTCGCCTCGTCCACCACGTAAAGCCCCAGACGGTCGCAAACCTACCTCAACGCGCGGTCGCGGGTACACGGGGGGGGGGAGGGGGTGTACTCATAGTCGTGCATGCCGTAGTCGTTAGACCATTGACCTCGCATCCCTACAAAGCCGGGACGGAGCACGCCGGGTTCTCACCGGACCAGGCTCTCACATCACCAAGCGCGAAGTGCCGTGAGGTATTCGGCGAGTCGCATGAAGGGTGAGCTGCATCCTGCTAAGGGTGTTCGGCATCTTGTGCTTACTTCCTTGCGTACGGATGACAGCTGCGTATGAATTAGTTTATTTTCTGGTGCTTCACTTCCACAGACAGTTGTAAGCACTGTGTAACTGCCTCGAGGATGCTTGACCATTTTAACACAACGTGGTGCGATCATCCCCCTTGCGCGGAGTGAGGGTTCTCCACCCCGCACAACATGATCTACTCGACCACCATTATGGTTACCGCAAAAAAAAAACAGAAGTAAAAAACAAAACGGTAACCTGGTTGCCGAGTTCACGAAGTGAATTGGCTTGTTTTACAACGTCGTTGCCAAGCGACGAAAACCCAATCCCGATGGCAAACACCGAGGGGGGGGAGGGGGGGGGGGGTACTCATGTTTCCCATGCCTTAGCTGTTGGGCCGTTGACCACACGCGTCCTCGAGAAGACGGAGCATTGTTCTGCGGATAAAGAGAACAGTTTCCTGTCATTGTGAAGAAAAATAATTAAAAAAATCACCTCGTAGAAGAAGGGGTGGTTCGGGTAGTGGCTCGTCCTCACTGCGTTGAAGTTGTGCCGCTTCATCACCAGAGCGTCGCGGACCATGGACTCCAGCGGGACGACCTTTCCCCCCGAGTCGTCGTGCTCGTGGCGGTTGGCGCCCGCCACCGTGATCGCTCGGCCGTTCACCCGCAGCTGTCCCCCGGAGATCTCGATCTTTCTCGCAACGGTACGGGGTGGGACGGTATACACGAAAACACGGACGAGGAAATTCATGTAATGAAATGGATGTCGGGCCCAAACCGTTATATACACACCACATACATGGTTACGGTACGGTATACATGGAACGGGCGAGGAAATTGACGTGTTGACAATGTCAGTCCTACACCACTTCATACCATGTGTTAGTAGAAGATATAGCAGTGCCAGTCCAGCGCGCCCGCGTGGAACGTGCAGATCAGCAACACCAACAACCACGCATAACAACAACAACAACGACAACAACAACACAATTCATCACCAACACCACCAACAGCAGCAGGAGCAGCAGCAGCAGTTAGCACCACTACCACCACCAACAACAACAGCAGCATCTAACGACCGCCCCCCCCCCCGCCGCCCCCCTTTCGGAAACCCACGCGCGAGCTCTCGCACTGCAGCGGCGCTTCCTCCTCGTCGACCTCCTCGTGGGGGCCCACCCGGTGCATCGACACCACCAGGGTGTAGAGGTGAGGCTGCTCCGCCGTCCACAGCTGCGGCCGGGGGACCTTGCCAGCCATCCGACCAAAAAAATACGAGAAAAATGAAGACAACAAAACACCATGAGGATGAATCGGCAGGCAAAAAAAACGATGAGAATGAATCGGCAGTCGACACCGTGTATGACCACAAGCTCATGAGACAAAGTCGGCATCATCGCAAGGGGTCCCGTGGCGTGGTTCAACGGAGAGCGGGGGGGGGGTATACACAGCGGGGGGCGTGGCCGTGACCTTTGGAGAAGATCCGCCACAAGGACACACAGCAGTCGGAATACAAAAAAAAAAAGCGTCTCGGTGAGAGCGACCCGAAGGAGAATGTAAAATGCCAACACGACACCAACCACATACCTCCGAACAGTGGTGGATGAGTTTCAGCCGAATGAATCGAAGTGTGTCTCTAGGGCAGCAGAGATTCCATAGCCTTCCACATACCATGGTAGTTGCGAAACAAAATCCCCCACCGACAAAACCTCCTCGCCCCCTGACCCGCAAGGATAACGACCATCTTCTGGCTCATCCCTGTGAAACGAAGCCTAAGCTACCGCATATCGCTCCGTCCTGGCACTGTATGTAGGGATGCGAGGTCAATGATCCAACGGCTACGGCATGCGTGTACATGAGCACCCCCTCCCCCCCCCGACCCCCCTTACCTTGAGATACAGACCGACGTACATCCCGCTCGTCGTACAGGAGGCCCGCGCCACCGGTGCCCCCCTCCCACTACCCCCCTCACCCTGCACCCCCATACGGGACCCCCCTCCGTCCCTCCCAGCCTCCTCCGGGCCACGGCTAGGTAGCACGGCCGCAGTCGAAGGCGCGGCCATGACCCCTTCCTCGAAGAGGTGCGCTCGGATTTGGACCGCGGGGGCACCGCCGGGGGGGGTGGTGGGCTCGGGGGGCCGGTCGACCAAGCACCGGATGCTCAGACGCGCCTCGTCGATGTCCTCGTTGGTGTGGGGCGGCGCAGAAAATACCGCCTTCGGTGGTGGTGGTGGTGGTTGTGGAGATGGTGTTTTATTGTTTTTGGGGGTGAATCGAGTCCAAGTTTTGGTGACGTGTGTTGGTTCCGCGGGAAGGGAAGTTAAAATGGCAGCAGCAGCAGCAGCAGCAGCAGCAGCAGCAGCAGCAGCAGCAGCAGCAATGAACAGCTGAGGGCGGCGGTGGGATTGGAGCAGTGCGTTGAGATGCTGCGAAGCAGAGACGAGAGACCAGACAACAAAATCTTCGAATCTACATGTAGACCTTTCTGACCGGAGAGCACTGACGACGCGTGTGGACGTCTCTAATAAATATTAACTGTCCAACACCAAAACCAAGAAATGAAGACCAAGCCAAAAGGGCCGAGAAGGCAAGGGCTGGTTGTCGGTCCGATTCCACGGCCGAAAAGTGAACACCGTAGGTAGCGCCCATGGGAACAAGAGGCCGATGCCCGGAAAGAAAGTTCCGGTGAAACCGTCAGGCACATAATGCAGATATTGTTGCTGTCTTTAGCATGCTTGAACGATGCCGGCGCCCGCTTATTGGTCGCGGATAAAGAGTCCTGACACCTATTAGCGGCATTTCATAGGGGTTACTAAAGCAGTGAAGTTGAAATCCTGGTAGGAAGTAGTGATGTTTACTGCCTATTGTCTGTATCTCTCCCTCCCTCCCTCCCTCCCTCCCTCCCTCCCTCCCTCCCTCCCTCCCTCTCTCTCTCTCCTCCCCTCTCTCGCTCATAGCCGGGACCCTACTCACGTGCCAGGAGAAGTCGGAGAGGGAGCAGAACTTGGGCAGGCTCACGAGCCGCACGCTGCGGTGGATTCCGCTGAGCCACCAGTGGTCCTGTCGATCCAACATACACGGAGACACGCAGACAACATTGAAACATCGTGGGGGGGGGGGGGGGGGGGGGGGACGGTCTCTCGTCCTCTCTCTCTCTCTC